TTAATGCATGGCTCCTCTCATCACTAGTGTTCGTAATATCGTTCCTGTAAGCTCTTATGCAATAATTATATGCAGAGAAGGGGGGGATGGTTGGGAATATAGGTGGTGGTGAACTTTTTCACCGTGCTATTACTGTCCTCTCCCATGACTGGGAATCCTTGTAAAACAATGTAAAACTAGAAAAGATCTAGACCCTCCCTATGTAAAACCATAAGGTATGCGGGACTGCTGCACTGCTGAACTTCAAAACGCTTTATTTGCTGACCAAGGATCTGACAAAAACATCTTTTTAGTGTGCATTTTAGGATGATAAAAAATTTAAACAGGTTATTCAATGTCCATTAAAACTGTAAAAAATATAGGCAGAAAAAAAAAGAAAACGAAAAATTGTTATACACGGAAATGAAAAACTACCCAAAATTAAGTACTTTTCCCTCAATTCTGGGGTTCAGCCCAATAACCCAAATTTGAGTAAATCGCATATAGTAGTTTCCATTTAATACCGGCAAAAAAATTACCTACTCTTAAGTAAATTTTACCCAAAATTAAGTTTAATTCACGTAAATTTAAGAATATGCAATTTACTCAAAAGTAAGTTATTGGGCTGAACTATATCGTTGGGTCGAATCTCTCGTTCCTTTTTTGACAACAATAACGAGTGCAAGCGAGAGGCTGAAGTCAATATTAAGTAAAAAGAACTCAAATTTTGGGTAGTATTTTTTCTCCGTGTTTATATACCAGTTGGCTGGAAATGAACACAAAATTAATCAAAGTAACCATGTACCTTGAGCTTTTGATATAGTGACAGATTGAGAACGATCTAAATTTTTCATCCACAAGTATTGCAAGACTTGAAATTAACAGACAATCTCAAAATACTTTCAACTTGCGAAGTCATGGATTCCCAAGTGAATACACCTGCTAAATAAAAATTATCAAGTAAACTATTTTTTTAGAATCGATGTTTAATAGATTTTTTTTGCAGTTTGAGATCCATGAAAAAAGTTACAGTAGCTTTATGGCACCAGTGACCAGCAAATTTAATATTTTCATTCAAGGTTGTGTGGAAATTCAACCTACCGGGCGAGCTACTGGGTTACATTGCTGCCCTCTACCTAATGCAGTCGAGTGATCAAATCAGAAAGTTAGCAGATTAGAAATCAATTAATAACTAATTTCCTCAACGTTCAATTAAAAAGTGGTATTTAGAAAAAAATGTAGCTGAGAAAATTTCCTATGAGTACACAAGGCTAACTTATTGGTAGATCATTATGGCGAAATTTGAAAACGAGGTGAACAAAATAATCACTTTTCCCATAGTAATACCAACAATCAATACGAAACTAACGATTTTAAATTGGCTCACCACTTTAGTAGCCTATTGGTCCCAAGCAAACGATTGACGTACCCTATTCTAGTTGAAATTCTATTACTACACTATGTTTGTTTTGATTCGCTATGAAAGTTTGACAGATAACATCAGGGGTGTGTGGATTCATGCAGAACATGCAGGGGTGAGTGAAATAGCTTGGGACTGCTTGGGACCGTTGTTCTGGTACTGAGTGAGCCAAAAATAATAATGATTTTCTTCGGGACCCAGTAGTCTTAAAGTTACCTCTATGGTAATACCTTTATAAATTTGAGATGGCCAGTGCAGAATGAGATCACAACCCAATAAGCTCAAATTTTGGGAGAATTATCTGGACCTGATTAAAAATCCATTGAGCTTAGTGAAGCAAAGCCGATATTTTGAACCACCCCAATAAGCATGTTCTCAATGCAGTAAGACTAATCAACAGAATGCTTGCTAGCTTACACTAAACATGTCTAAGCGCTAATCTCAGTGGTCTAACTGTACTTCGCACTAATAGCATAGTTCTTCTTTTCGAAGAGTACAGCCACAAATGATGATTTGGTCAGCAAAGATTAGACTCTGAGTCTTGGTGAATAGTTACAAGTATCTACTATTAGCTGGTTGCATTGAGAACTAAAACTATAAATAAATCCGGAAAACTTTAATATTAGGGCGTAATTTCTTTTGTAAACACACACTTAATTTGCCGATTTCTCGTGAATTAAAGTTAAATCTAAAAAACTAACAACACAGACAGGTAGAGGAATGATTCATTTGGTATAGTACAGTTCGCTAGATTGTGCTTTGATTCGTGAGAAATCGTTGAATGGCGTGTTTGTTTATAAAAGCAATTACGCCCAAATCTCAAAGTTCTCTGGAAATGGTATTTAATGTGAAGGTAAAGAGATGAACTAGCCTCAGGCTAAAAATCTCTAAAATAAAGAAAAAAAAAAAAAAAAAATTTAATGTGAAGGATGCGAAAAATATCGGAGAACGAGAAGAAAACAAACAGACACTCTCGCGTGATCATCGCCTACCTTTACTCGCTGGAAAAAAAAACAAAGCTGAGGGGATATTTGGTTGGTCCGAATCACGAGTAGGTACGTGTGAAATGATGTGAGATGGAGAGACGAAAGATCTTTTGCGATACGAAATGAAAATTTCTCTCGCTCTACGCTTTCATGAACTTCGCGAACTTTTTGTGAGAAGTTCCTTTGGGATTTATCTCTGCAATGAGCTGTGATAGAACTTTTTTTGAAAATGATTTTTCCAACACTGCAGACAATTACATAGATTCATTTGTAATTTTCAAAATTATTATGTAGGTTCCTAGTCCTATCATGTCTGTTTTGAGAATTCCCACTTTGGGTTTGGTTTGATTGAAATTGAAAAAGTAAATTCGTACGCCCCTCGTGCGCCGCTAGCACGCCTCTAGTGTTGGGAATCGAAAATCTGTGACAGTTGTTTGTTTACACTTCTATAGAGAACAACTGGTGCAAGTTTGATCAAAGTAGTCGACCGCATTCAGATATAACGTCAAATGGAACACGAAAAAAAAAATATTGTGCACAAACACCTGGAAAATCCGGAGTGGTCCAGTTCCAAGCTGGTTAAAGTGCTGAAGATGCCGAAAACAACAGTTTGTCGAGTGCTCAAAACCTACAAGGAAGCCGTGAGTGTGGAAAGGAATCAGCGGATCTACGAAAAAACTGGAACCTTGCTGATGCGTTAAAGCCAACCCTGGTCTTTCGATCCGAGATGTGGCCAGAAAATACAACGCCAACTTTCAAACGGTGCAGAACATCCTTGCCAGGGAAGGATACAAGTCGTACAAAGCCAGTAAACATCAGAACCGGCACATGAAGCAGAATTCCGTGGCCAAAAAGAGTGCAAGGCTCTTGTACGACCGTGTTTTGACCAAACACAAGGGCTGCACTCTGATTGATGACGAAACATACGTCAAACTCGATTTTAAGCAACTTCCCTGTCAAACGTTTTACATCGCAACTGGACGTGGGGATGTGCCGGGAAGATTCAAGTTCGTGTTTGTAGACAAGTTCGCCAAGATGGCCATGATTTGGCAAGCGATTTGCAGTTGTGGCCTGAAAACGGAACCATTCGTCACATCCTCGACGATGATATCCCAAGTTTACAACGAAGAATGCCTGAAAAAGCTGTATTGCCGTTCATCCGCAAGCATAGGGGCAAAGTCGTCAAAGTGGTTCTGGAGTGGTATGCTACCAACAAGTTCGATTTTTCCCCAAGATAATGAATCTTCTGAATTGCCCGGAATTTCGACCAATCGAAAAATACAGGGCAATTTCAAAGCAGCGACTTCGACGAAGCGGTGGGGCAGTCAAGGACACCCAGAAAATGCGGGCAAAATGGAAGAAATGCGCTGATTCCATGTCCGTTTCCACTGAGCGGGCGTTGATGGGTTCTAGTTTTCGTTCGAACTGGAGAAATGTAACCATCTAAGCTGTAACTTTGATGTTTTACTAAAAGTACTGTAAAGCAACCGTCATCAATTTTAAAATCTAGTTTTAGAATGTTCGCCTCTAGGTTAAGATCGGAAATTCTTGTGTCGATCAAGGACCATCCTCAGCACTCTATTCTTAGTGACCTGGATTTTGTTCCTATGAGTCTGTGCACTTGATTTCCTCACCGGAGCTGCGTAGAGGATCGCAGGTGCTATGATTTGTTTGTAGACAGCCAGTTTGTTCACCCTTGAGAGGCAAGATTTACGGCAAATCAGTGGATACAGACACCTAACCAAGGCATAACACTTGACTACGGTTTTCTCTACATGCGAACGCAAAAGGAGCTTTACATCGAACGACATCCCGAGATAGGTTACTTCAGCAGACCACTCAACCCTTGTGCCATCCATCATTACAGTACAAGATGGAGCCGGTTTTAGATTGAGGGATTGCCTATGAAGGAACATGATTGCTTGAGTTGATGTATGATCTCGTTTGGAAAATTTCATGAGAAATGAGAATTTAATATAATCATCTTTGCAGCAACTGGGAACTGTTCTTTGCTCTCAGGATCATTAGAAATGAGACAGAACGATATTTTGCGCACTAGTGCCATCTAGTGATACTTAACTATCTACCATATGAATAATCTTACTCCCCTGCACATCTTTGCCAAAACATGATAATTCTACATAGTCATGATTACGAAGTTTCACTAGCGCCATCATGCATGATAGATAATCATGAACCTTAATGGTATCAGTCAAAACACAGAAGTGATCATCTTTGTCAAACACAGAATTATTCTATTTCTTCATAATCATAAGAACCAGTTTCAACGGAAATAGTCAAAACGAATTTTTCTCTATGCCGTGGATTGCTAAGTAAAATATTCACCATGACCGAACCACAACCTTTACCGAAGGCATGAACCATCTATTTACTTTATGGAAATACTAACATTTATGCTAAGATCATACGAGTTAACGCGACGATAACGATGAAAGCTTCTTTGACTACCCTGATTCCGCGGCAACATCAATAGAATTCGCGGAAGATTCCAGCATCGTGGTCATAAACAGTCGGGCGTTCTGACCATTAAAAATCTCAAAACTATCTGTTGCTATGCCAACTGCAATAATTGTTTTCCTCTTCTATATTTCCAGCATCCAGGTGCGGAAGTGACCACCGGCCTCTAACCAGAAGCCTTCAAATTATTCGCACCTACACCAATTATCTAGCACCGCACCATTCCTAGCCGAGCATCATTAAGTTTCGCGTGAAAAGCCATGCCCTAGCCCAGGATCTAATTACTACTATGGCATTGTACACCGGGATCGATGATCTTCTCACCACAAACTGGATCAACTTCACTCCAATTCCATTCTACTCGCGAATCCTGCTATTGCTCTTACTCCAGCTAGATCTCCCGGACAGCCGAGTCGATATCTAGCCATACCTCCGAGCACACGCTCGATCGTGAGACTTCGAAACAAACATAAATTACGACGCACTTGTGTGTGGGTCGATACGCACACGCACCGAGCATCATCCGGTTGTTACAAAAATTCAAGTGCTGGGAAAATCGATCGCAGTTACTCGTCCAGGTGACGATCGGACGGACGGATCTCTGGCGGGCGCTCAGAGCTACATCCGTTCATTCATCATCGGTCGTCGTGGGATTCGATCTAGTTGGCGTGCGTTCTGTCCGATATCAGTTCCCTCTCATCGAACCCCTCACCAATGCAGTGCAGTGCAGTGCAGTGCAAAGCCAGAGTTTCAAAGAAGGAAAGCCGCAATCATTGAAGAATATTTAAATTAATTCGTCAGAAGCAAATCAGTGAGTTATTAAGGAGAGGGCAGGAAGAGCGTAACGAGCTGCCGGGTGATGAATGAGCAAATGAGATGATAGGAATTAATTAAAATGTGTTTCATGTGATAAGTGACTCGTGTGTATTCCTCCTCTGCATAAGCGATATTCCTCGACGATTAATGTAACAAAATAAAGAAGAAAAAAGAAGCAATAAATATAAATATGGTTAATTAATAAAAGCCACGGAGCAGAGACACAAAGCCTGCTGGGATTCGGGATTGTTCTCCCATTACGCTACCGACTGGCCACGAGTGTGCAAGTGAGTGCCGTCAAAGGGGTCTCGCAAGCAGCGACGAACCCGCTTACCTGGGCGCCTCTGTGTTTTTACTAAAGTTGTGCAAACGAGTTGTAAAAAAGAAAATACAAAATTTACGATCGAATTTCGCGGAATTGGGCATACACGCAAATTTTTCATTTCTGTTTTCGGGAGTGAAACCGTGCAAAAAAAAAAATAAAAAGCTTGACGTCGATGGTGATTTATTGCCCTCCGTGTGTTATTACTGTTGCCGTAGTAAAGCTGAATCCGTGACTCGATATAGAGGATTTAAAATTGGTGTTGATACCGTTCGAGATTGTTTGAGACGACGTCGACGACGCACCCCGAGGCAGGATGACCCCGAAGGAGTGGCTGGCACTGTTTGCCTTCTACGCCGCTTATCTGTTCTTCGGGTCGAGCGTGTTCTATCATAACGAACATGCGCTGGAAACCGAGAGGCGCGCCGAAAAGCTAGCCGAGCGGATCGAAATGAATGGTAAGGATGGTGACTGCAAGGAGGTGGTTTGATTGTCTTATTGTTTTTCGGGGAAGTAAATATTTATTCACGCCGTGAGCATAAAGGCTATCATCTGTAGAAGTGCAATCATTAGGACACCTGACCTGGGAAATTTAATTCTTCAATTGTGTAATCAACTTTGTCTTACTCAATTTCGAATTACGGAGGTGAATTTATGAAACTTATAGGGGGCAAGTTATTGAGATAGTCTGAATTTCCATCGTCTTACGGAATACATGGAGTTGACTGAATAGAACATTACGTTACACATACATTTGTCACACTATTTGAGACGAAAACGTCCCAATTTTACCAACACCCCTCCGATTATGCGACACAATCTGCAATTTGTGATGACTTCATCTTTTATATGAACTGTAAACGAAGGAAAGTTGATCATTAAAATGGATTTGGTCACGAGAGTGTTCAATCCTTTACACCTCCACGAGAAATCACAGGGATGCTAAAGAAAAGTGTTGGGTTTGCAGCAGGCTTCATTTTGGCAAACGGCACGATGAATTAAAGTGATGTGATTGTGCTAAGAAAGACAGCGACTAACGAATCTTGAATGTGAAGTGTCCTGAGATTGAACCCATGATGTTCTGCAAAAACGGTCGGTCTAAGGTCACCGAGCCCCTCATATCACAACACATCATTAATGATCGAGTGGATGCTATAGCCATTCATAATCTAATCTAATCTACACTGAAAATAAAATTTAGTACATATAACAAAAGCGTTTGTTTATTCTACGAATCTTTTCGTTGTTATCTGCAACGAAATAGACTCGTACTATATATGAATCTAGTTTCGTTTAAATATTAAAATCATTCACTGCGTAACATTCTTGTATTTTACAAATGTATCATAAATTAAATACGAATTATTCGTGACAAGAAGTACAAGCTTTGAAAATAGCACGAAATATTCGTTTACCAATAAAACATCATGCATTGTACGAACATTTCGTAGAAGAATAAAACCGTCTCTCTGGCTTTCGTGTTATATACGAAAAAATTTCGGAGAACGAAATCAATTCGTATTTTTTTTTCAAATTCGTTTGACTCAAGCAAATTTGCCTGTCAAAACAATGTTTACAGTAAACACAAACGAAAATTATTTATTCTTCTTAAAAACAACAGTTACAATTGTTATTCTAAGGGCAAGATAATTAAAATAGAATTCAGTGACTTGATCTTAAAGGCTTTGTGGCTTAACCGAAGGATGTTGCACCGAATTTGATAACTCGAAATGCAACCTTGCTCGTCCTGTTTCTTCTCGATGCTGATGATGCTGTTTCAGGAAGCCTTGATCGACATTTCTGTTAGCTGTGAACTGCACACACAACATCCTATTTATATTCTTTATAGGTCCTTATATACCGACGTCCGATTTTCTGTTGGGCTGATGCTGAAATTGAGCCTCCTTCGAATATACATGGTCCGCCTAAGGTTCTGAAGGGCCGGCCGTGAAGTTTGGTTGTCGTCGATGCGGAGTTGTATCGCCTTTCCGTGACCGAATTTGATGGAATAGGTTACCCATCAATTTTTGCCAATGTCCTGATCGAGCGCCAATACCTGAGAGAGGAAATAAAACAATGAAGTTTAAGTGTCGCTGCAGCGGAATATTCGACAAATATCTTGATAAATTACCGTTATCAGCTTATCCGAGTTGATTCCGTTACCAAAGTGCTGGTCTTGAATTCAAGAAGTACGTATTACAGTATTCTTGATGTCATCCCACCAGTCACGAAATATAATTAACCACTTCATTCGAGCAGTTAAAATGACGTTTACTACCACTTGAACTTTGAAATAAAACATTATTGTGAGATTTTTTCTTCTAGAATCACGAAAAAAGTAGCCAAAAATTGTAAGTTTCATAAAAAATAGAAATTAGTTGGTCCAGTTTTGTGAAACCGCTGGTAGAAAGTAACGCCAAAACTGCTTGACAAAGTGGTCAATTGGAACCATCGACATTTCCACTTGGTTGCACTTTTGTGTTCACGCACTAAGGAAACTTTTCACTACTTTTGTTTGACTTGATTGCATTAATTTACGTTTTTAACGTTTAACTCCACATCGGAGCGAATGTACGAAATATAGTTCGTATATTTTATGAATTATGCGTAATGTTGGCATTGTAGCTTAAAACATGCAATACGAATGTTTTGCACAATTAAGGAAATATTTGTTTTATCTACGAAACCCATTTTTAAGAAATGAGCGTAATAGTATTAACGAAAATATATTTTCAGTGTAATCTTATCTAACACCAACACAGCCAGTTCTTGAAAGCATCTATGTCTATTTGATATATGTTTCACATCGAAGATGCGTCACACATATCAAAACGGCCAGGCCTACTGTGCAGCATTTAAGGGGCAAGATAATTCAGAAAACATCGGGCCTGTTTAAATCGAAGATTTAAACACGATGCTTCAGAATTCAATAAATGAATGAAACGTGGACATCTCATCTCGTACCGTACGTTCCAATTTTGGTAATTATATGATTGGTTGGTTGTTGGAAGCATCAAAGCTAGAAAGGTTAAGTGATGCTCCATTTTCTTCTGACGGTTGGGACATGAGCACTAACTCTTGTCCTAGCCTTTTATGGTTTATGGCTATAGCGCCATCACTCGCTTTCTGAAAAGAGAAGAGGGAAAAGAAAAGGAGGATAAAGGGAAAAGGAGTATGCAAACTCTTTGAACATAAACAATATATTTGATTTGAAATATACAATATAGAAATGCATATCGGCGGTGGTCACTACCCGAACCTGTTCACTATTATAAAGTCATAAAAAGTAACAAGTACTGAAATGTGATCCTTTGATTACTGGAAAATCCTCATTCCCTAGTTTGAAGTTGTCACGACTAGGGTTCGGTGGTAGATCTTATACCAGTAACGTACCACAAAAAGCTGATCTCCCAACGTTACTGGTTTGAAAAGATAAAAATTTACAATATGGAACGAACTCAAGTTTAGCCTGAACCTGAACCTGAAGGCTGTTTGACATGTGTTGATGTATAAGTCCATATTGTAGACAAAGCTTGACGAAGGACAACATGAACTAGTCCGGTTTATGGTAGTTGTGCGGAATGTCTTCCTTTGATTTGAGATAATCAAATGTTCGAATGTATGTAGTCGATTTTTGATGTGCATTGGCAAGCCTTTACGTGGCCAATAGTCAGGTTCAACGCTGCGACTCAACGAATGATGGGATGAATGATGGAACGCCTCATGGAGGTTCTACTTGTCTTCGGAACAGCTTCTCAGCTGGAAATAACAGGGATGTAGACTTAGATACAATGAGATGCAGCTCTCGCAGGGCTTCTTCTGTCTTAGTGAACTAGAAATTGTCTCCTGGGCCTGGATTTGGCCACATCGGCAACCGAATATAGATAAAAAAAACTCCACGGAAAAAAAAAAACAAACGTCAGGTTTGATCACACGCACAACCTACTCTTTTACTGGATGCTATAGCCATTCATACCACAATAAGCCACTGCGACCGAAGATCTTTCAAACACGAAGACATGAAGACATGAAGCTACAAAAATGCAATTTTGGACTTAATTAACTTATACTTGTTCGTGATATTCATTGTTTTGTTTTGGTTCTTACGTAGGATGGGAACAGAACTTTTAATGCCTATTTTTCTTTGATTTTTTGAAACAAGTTGCACTAAATTTGATCACAATTTGAGATTACGGGATCTAAACTACGGGAAAAAAGAAAAACTTGATAAGTCAAATCTGCTTACTCGATCGCGATCGTGGCACCTAATTTTTCTCCCTAAAACGAATTACGCTACAACATGAATAAAAATTTAACTTATCATAGCTACTCAACCAAAGGGGATCCTCTGCAAAACAAGCTTGGGACCCCCTGGGCACATTGGCACAGTTTTGCACCCATGGTTACAATTTTTCTGATCTTTAAAGTTACTGGCAACACTGAACTTTTTCAGTGCCTACGCAGTGTGCATGTGTCAAAATTTGTTATTGATGTTGCCACAATATAATCAAATCATTTTCAAAACACTCCACCAAGTCTCGCCATGGATTCTTACAATCGTTACACCCGTAACGGCAGTCGCGTCCACATTTTCTCTCAGACGAAGAACAGCTGACAGCGGTATCTTGACCTGACCGAGGTTTCCGGCCATGGCTACACGAACTAGCGATGCAGCTCCCACGGCTGCGGCTGCTTCCAATGCTGCTGCTGCTGGTCCGTCTTTTTTGGAGAATTTTAGAGGAAACCGACCAGCAGAAGGAACAGCAGCAGCAACTAAAGCAGCCGCAGCCGTGGGAGCTGCATCGCTAATTTGTGTAGCCGTGGCCGACGCTGGAAATCTCGGTCCGGTCACGACAAGCGGTGCTTGAGTTTTAATCGGAAAGTCAACAACCAAACAAAAACTATACCATCCAACCATTCGAACTGCTCGAATACATCCATGGCGGTGGCTGCTACACCAACCATTCCAGAAGCTTCCGCTCTTTCAAAGCTTACGTGTTTTCAATGTTCTCGTTGCTTCACGCACCGTTCATCGTCTTGGAGGAGGAGAAGCACAGTTTCATCACAGACAAACAGACGTAACTCTTTGAAAAAAGTTGTTCTTGAAAACATAGTATCTCAAAACATAGGACCTCAGTAACGACATCTCTCTGGCTTCTCGCGGAAAACAAGCTTTCTCGCTAACTCACAAAGAATATTGTATAAAAGTTCTATAGAATGTATAGAAACGTCAAAGTGATCCGATGCCAGCGCTGCGGTGAGTAGTTCGCGGAACTGATAATGTTCAAATCAACAGTTAAATGCGTGAACGAAGATACACAATGAAGAGTTACGTCTGTTTGTCTGTGGTTTCATAATGAACGGGAATTTTGTGCATTTGTAATCGATCGCGCTGTGGTTGCACTTCATGATGGCGTTCACCGCCAGGGCTACTCGCTCAGGAACTCGACCAATCCGG